AATCCTGACATCAAACATTCAAATTTGCATTTCAGCCTCACCTAGTTGATATCACCAAGGCAGTTAAAGAAATATAGATGGGGCTCGGCAGCCATGGCACAGTGGTTATAGTGCCAGCCACATGCACCGAGGCTGACAGGTTCAAACCCAGCCTGGACCTGCTAAACAACAATGACAACTGCAACAAAAAAATAACTGGGGTGTTCTGGCAGGTGCCTGTAGTCCCAGCTACTCAAGAGGCTGAGGCAAGAGAATCACCTAAGCCCAAGAGCTAGAGGTTGCTGTGAGCTGTGATGCCACAGCACTGTACCAAGGGCAACATATGTCTCAAAAAAGAAAGAAATTGCCGGGCAGCACCTGTGGCTCAAAGGAGTAGGGTGCTGGCCCCATATACCAGAGGTGGTGGGTTCAATCCCAGCCCTGGCCAAAAATTGCAAAAAAAAAAAAAAAAGAAAGAAAGACATTGCCAAATGAAATGTGAACAAATGCAATAGAATACCCATACCTTTCACAACATGCCCCCAAAGCTTTCTTGCTTTTCAACAACTTATGCTACAAATCTATATTCTCCTACTTAACCCAACTCAAGACACCTTAAGGTCACATGACTGACACCCACCCAGAGGATCGACTGGAACTTCAGACCTCCATGCTGCCACCAAATATTCAAATGCTTTCTGACAAAAAAGCAAATGTTACAAGGCCATTACAAAGTTAGTTAACTTTAAAATTAACCAAGTTTTAGGCTGCTTGAGTTGGCTCATGTCTGGAAACCTAGCACTCCGGGAGGCCGAGGCGAGTGGATCGCCTAAGCTCAGGAGTTTCAGACCAGCCTGAGCAACCCTGTCTCTAAAAATAGCGAGCTGTGGCAGGTGCTTATAGTTCCAGCTACTTGGGATGCTGAGGTAAGAGGGTCTCTTGAGCACAGGAGTTTGAGGTTGCTGTGAGCTATGATGCCATGTCTCGAAAAAAATTTTTTTTTAATTTTTGAACTTTTTCTTTTTTTTGAGACAGAGTCTCACTATGCTGCCCTCGGTAAAGTGCTATGGCATCACAGCTCACAGCAACCTCAAGCTCTTGGGCTTAGGCGATTCTCTTGCCTCAGCCTCCTGAGTAGCTGGGACTGCAGGTGCCGCCACAACACCCGCTATTTTTCTGTTGCAGTTGTGGTTGTTTAGGTGGCCCAGGCTGCGTTTGAACCCACCAGCTTCAGTCTGTATGGCTAATGCCATAACCACAGTGCTACAGGCACTGAGCCCTTTTTAGTCTTTTTAATACAATTTTTGAAATTATTAATTACATAGTAGTTAGGGTTTTACAAAATAGTGTACATTTTTTGAGTATATCTAATTGACGTTTCTTAAATGTGTTTCTTAAATGTGGCTTAATTTGAGTACAGCTAAATGAATGAGGCCTTCCAACCTGAAAGGCTCCCCCAACTCTGTCCTAGACCTTACCCCCAGTAACAGCTGGCTCATAACCCACAATGGGTCATTTTTGAATGAAGAATGGATGGGCATCACACACTCTCTGCCCCTGTTTGGACCTCAGTCACTTAGCAGTTCCTAAATTTTGCACGAGCAGCCCTTGTTTTCCACCGGGGACCTTCTAGAGTTTTTCTTCTCTTTTAGAACTCTTATCACTACACTTAGATATCACTTACTGTTTTCTTCCACAATCAAACAAAATAAGGCGTAAGTTTCTCCTTCAAAGTAGGAAAATGGACAAGGAAGCCCAGCATTCACTGTCTGGCTGTGTGAGACACCATTTCATATTGTTTTTATAGCTTTTCTCTAAACTTGCCACCAAAACCCTCTAGGTCATAATTTCCTCCTCTACAGAAACAAAATAACTATTTTTCTCTTTTTAAAAAAAATCAGGAAACCTCACAAACAAGTTACCCTTGAAATCCATCAATCTCCTTCTCTTCCTTCCATCCATCCACCAAATATTTATTAAATGTTAGAAAGCAGATTCTGTGCTATGCACATTGGTATTTATTGTCTCTTTAAAAAAATAAAACTTGTTAGTTGTGTTCATTATAAAAGTCATATAGTCACAACAAACAATTTAGAACATATACAATACTATGAATAAGGGATATAAGGCTGGGTTTGGTGGCTCACCCTTATAATCCTAGCACTCTGGGAGGCCAGACAGGTGGATTGCTTGAGCTCAGGAGTTCAAGACCAGCCTGAGCAAGAGCAAAATCCTACTAAAAAAATTTTAAAAACCAGTTAGGCGTTGTGCTAGGCACAAGTCTAGCTACTCCCAGCTACTTGGGAGGCTAAAGCAAGAGGATCACTTAGCACAGGAATTTGAGGTTGCTGTGAGCTATGATGATGCCATGGTACTAACCAGCGCAACAAAGACTCTATCTCAAAAAAAAACCTGTTATCTTTTTGATATATCCTTCTAGTTTTTCCATAAATCATGCATTTTCTTCTTCTTCTTCTTCTTTTTTTTTTTTGGCAGTTTTTGGCCAGGGCTAGGTTTGAAACCGCCACCTCTGGCATATGGGGCTGGTGCCCTACTCCTCTGAACCACAGGTGTCACTCTAAATCATGCATTTTCCATAGCTAAAATAATAATTTACATGTAAGTTTGCAATGTTCTTTTTTCCCTCCTAACAATATATTTTGGTATTTTCTTGTACTCATAAAAATTTCTCATTTTTAATAGTTGCATAATAGTTTATTTAAACTTCTCCTTAATTTTGGTTTTTACTAATTTTCTGGTGGTGTGAAAAAAGAACCAGTGTTTATTTTTATTTATTTATTTATTTTGAGACACAGTCTTACTATGTCACCCTCGGTAGAGTGCTGTGGCATCACAGCTCACAGCAACCTCCAACTCTTGGGCTTAAGGAATTCTCTTGCCCGGCTGTTTTTTGGTTGTAGTTGTTACTGTTGATTGGCAGGCCCGGCTGGGTTCAAACCCGCCACCTCTAGTGTATGTGACTGGTGCCATAGCCACTGATATAGGCGCTTAGTCACCAGTGTTTATCTTTATGCATAAATCTTTGTGATTATTTCTGATTATTTCCACGGAAGCCTTGGATGTGAAATTATAAGGTCAAAGTATATAAAAATTTTCAAGCTTTATAGGGTGTTTATAGTCCCAGCTACTCCAGAGGCTGAGATAGAAGGATCACTTGAACCCAGGAGTTGGAGGTTACTACTGTGAGCTAGGCTGATGCCACTGTACTCTAGCCTGGGGAAGAGAGGGAGACTTTTCTCAAAAACAAAACAAAACAATAAAACAGTAATAGTACCAATATACAATACAATGTACACAATAACATACAAAGTCCCTCCCAAACCATTTCTTTTTTAAACCTCACTTAATGTCCTTTCTCAACTTTGAGTCCCTTTACGTGTGGGGTTTGGCACAAAGGTGCCTAGACAAGGGGGCTCATTGAGGACAGAGAATCAGGCTGTGCTCAGCAGTTAAGCGGATCCCTGGCTAGGCCTGCACTGGCCTACAGGATGGCCAGCGGACCGTAATTCCCACAAAGATTTGACACATGCTAGCCGGGGCTGGCCTCATTCCCTCACCACCTCTCAGCTGGAACTTTATCAGTCTCATTCTCTTCCCCCTCTTTATTCCTAATGCCATCATCCTTCCATTTCTTCCTTCTTATTTCTTCTTAACTTACAAGAAAAGATTCACAACGAAAGCTTAATCAAGCAAAAATAACAGTAATAAAAAGAATCCTGGCAAGCATTTATCAAAGTATATTTCTTCTTGATCTGAATTCCGAAAAGACAGGAGTTGCCTAAATTGCCTGTTACCCATAGGTGTTCACTACTAACTTTTATTAAGTCACGGTATGGTGAATGCATTTACATTTAACACAAATGACAAACACTGAAGAAGTTTAGAAAGAAACGAGAATATCACCAGAACCTTTAGGTTTGTTAGTCACCAAAGATTAAGGGCTGTCAGAATCGATTGTCTGCTGGATTTGGTTCAGAAAGAGGGGGATAATAATACTTGTCTAATTACCTAGCATGTTGGTAGATTAAAGTGCTTTGTAAACATTAATTAAAGATGCAGAGAGTTAGGTGAGGCCAGTGTGTTATTAGAGAAAAAGTTTTCTTCCCTTTAATCAAGTATCTCTTCCTGGAGAGGACAAAGAAATGAGGTAAGGACTAAGGAATTGGGGCTCAGTCCCGAAGGCAGCCAGAGTGACTCAGTCATTCTGTGGAACCAACCACTTCCTTCCTTTGCTTTCTGTAAAGCGAGGATAAACACAAACATTTTTGGAATGCAGGTTGTTATGACGTTCGCCATTTGAACGTACAACAAACTGCAATTAATAAAACCCCATTACTCTTGCTTTCTCTCTCCCTACAGAGTTGTTCCGCCTATGGAAGCGCTGGTAACATTAACTTCCACCCACCTACAAGGGTCTTCCACAACTAGCTGTTAACCTTGGTAGGTATTTCCACAGTGATAAAGAAGAAACTGGCAACACGCAGTGGGGCTAGAACTCTTGGGTGGACACTTCAGCTTCCGGAACCTCAGTTTTCCTCTCTGTAAAATGGGGATAAGAAACCATAGGATTATTTTAAGGGTTAAATGTAATAATGTGGGTAATGCCATGTCCGAGGGTATAAGAATTCAATAAATGGCAGTTGGTGCTATTATCCTCAAATATAACCTCTCAGAGCTAACCATAGTTTAAAATAATAATAAAGTTGTGTCTCGTTCAAGTTTCAAAAGCACTTCCTTACTGCTTTTCTTTGCGTAGGTAGCGCAGCGATGGGGACTAGGCATTTGCGCTCTGGTCGTCCGCTTATTCAAACTCTCTCTACCCAGGCAGAGGACCCGCCCCCAGCACCCCAAACGGCCGCCACCGGGCCTGTCCCTTTAAGTGCCACGGGCGCGCGCAGTGCGTGTCCGGGGAGCCCGGGCCGCGACGGCCGGGGAGCGCGCACCGGCCGAGGGCGCGCACAGGGGGTGAGGCGCTCGCGGGCGGCCGGGCTGGCTGGCGGAGGCGAGAGGGCTGCGGGCGGCGATCGGCGATCGGCGTGGGCACCTGCGGTCCCCGCGCGGAGGCTGGCTCTGGGTGAGTGCGGTGACCCCAGGCAGGGCTGGAGCGCCAGGAGGGCGTCCTGGCAGCGGCGGCGCCGGGTCTGGAGGAGAGGTGGGGGCGCGGCGGGTCGGTGTGCGCCCCGCTCCAGCCCAACTACGCGCTCCCCCACGCCCCTTCCCGGCTCTGCACTTGGGACACCAGTGGCGCCCAGTGCGAGGCCACCAGGTAGTCGCTGCGTTCCTGAGAACTCCAGGGCTCGGGAGGCTGGGGAGAGGCGCGCTGTTTGGGTCTTCCAGAGGCGGGTGGGCACCGAGGGGTGGCGGTTTTTCTAGTTTTGGTCCCCGACGCCCCAAGCCCGGAGCACTGCTAGGGACACGGCACAACAATTCTCACCGGGGACCTCTGTGGGTCCGACCTTGGGCGGGGGTGGGTGACCGGAGCCACCTGTTGACCTGACCTGGGGTCTTGTGCACAGTAATCAGCAGGTTTTTGTCCTGCGCCCGCCGCGCCCCCAGCCCCCGGCAGGTAAATCAATCACGGAGGAATGTATCGGATCTGCCCAGTGAACGGGCGGGAGGGATTAAAAAAAAAAAAAGAAAAGAGAAGAAAATGAGGCTAATGTGATGAAATTTAACAAAAGCCAATAAAATAAACTCCAGTATTTCTCCAAGGCTTTGAAAGTTTCCCAGTATTGTTTTACAGAGTCTAAATTTAAGCATTCTAGCCCCCCCTTAACCGCAGGAACTAACCTCAGAAAACTTTTTAACTCTTTGCCAGAACCTAGTTGGTGCAGAGCAGAAAACCCAAGGGTACAGGAAAACGATTTTATGTATCTTTTTCCTCCTCAACAGAGTAAAACATTCAGGTCTGTTGCTGGAGAAGGTAGAAGATTCCTTCTGGCTCCAATTTTAATGGAGAGCATTTAAAAAAAAAAAAATCTGTATTACTGAAAGGTACAGAAACACCAAACCACGTGTAAGAGTGAACTTGAGGGAAATGCTCCCAAGAGAAAACTTTATTAAAAATACTTTTCTACTTGATTTTTTAAAAAAAAGCACTACGGTAGGGCTCTTGCATTCACCGAGAGGTTTGCCCTGAAAGTTCCATGTCTGAATGTTACTGATTGTTTTTCTAGGTGGAGGAGGTATTTTCGTTCCTGAAGCCAGTGTGGAAATACAAACAAATGTCCTATTTACTTGGGATTGGGTGGGAAGGATGGAAGTTGTCTAAAATCTTTCTTGCCAAAATTGACAGCGTTATGTATGGAATCTTGTGTGTTTTCTTGCCCAGACTAGTAATAGTCATTTTTAACTAACTGGGTATATTTCTTGGTAGCAGCACCTCAAATGAGCTTCTCTTTGAAAACTGGGGGTGCTGATGATTTAAAAGTAACCCGTTTTCTCCCTTACTAGAAATAAGAAATCCACAATTAGAGTGATAATTGGAGAAAGCTGGAAAAAAGAGTGATCCTTTTAAGAAAATTTGAGGGCTCAGCGCCTATAGCTCAACCAGCTAAGGCGCCAGCCACGTACACCTAAGGTGGCGGGTTCGAATCCCCAGCCCGGACCCGCCAAACAACAATGATGGCTGCAACCAAAAAATGGCCAGGCGTTGTGGCGGGCGCCTGTGGTCCCAGCTACTTGGGAGGCTGAGGCAGGAGACTCGCTTGAGCCCAGGAGTTGGAGGTTGCTGTGAGCTGTAATGCCACGGCACTCTACCCAGGGGGACAGCTTGAGGCTGTCTAAAAAAAAAAAAAAAAAAAAAGAAAATTTGAGTATGTTTGGCTCCTTTGTTGAGAGGGGGGATTGCGTGTGCTAAATGCAGGCCTGGCGCACTGGTTAATTCGTTCAGCAATATCGTAGACTGACCACCTATGGTGTGCTGAGCCCTGACTGGTCGTTGGGCATACAATCATTTCCAGGTAGCAGCCATATGGTCCAAACTGATTAAAATCAGATCAAGTAAGCCTTCGTCAGGAACTGAAGAGATACCTAGCCCTGCTGCCAAGTTCTCAGACACCTAAGGAGCCTATACTTGGCACACTCTGGTTGTCATAAAGATCATCTCAGATAACTGCAGGAGGCAGAGTGGAGCCTTGAACCCAAAGGGAGAGAGGAGAAAGGCCTGTGTGGAGCAGAGTTGAGAGCAGGGAATCCTCTGGAACAAAGAGTTCAAGTGCATCTTATCTACATTGTTGTGGGTCAGCTGCCAAATGGCCGAGAGGCCAGGAAGGTGCCAGGGGAATCCTAGGAGCTTCCCAGAACACGAGCTCTCTTTTCTGATGGTGAGGGTAGCATTCCCTTTCAGTTTCCATTGCAGTTTCTGGTGGCAGTGTGGTAGCTTGGTAGCTGCCCATGCGCTCTGAGAGGATGGCCTTGGCAGCTCTGTCTGCGATAGACTTGGGGCCATCCCCTCTCTACTCTGAGTGGTTGGCTGGGTGCCTCGGGAGGGCCTCGGTTCTGGGTGGCACTGCCCTCTACCCTGCAGTGTTAAGACAGTGGCATCAATGATAACAGTCTCCATGAAAAGCCACAGCAGAGTTATACCTCTCACTAAGGCTGCTGTCCCCCTTCTAGACTTGCCACATTCACCTGGAAACCTAAGAGTTTTCTTTTGTTGTTGTTTTTTCTTTGCAGTTTTGGGCTGGGGCCAGGTTTGAACCCACCACCTCCAGTATATGGGGCCAGCTCCTGTATCTTTTGTATCTTTTTGTATCAAAAAGATATTCCTTTGAGCCATAGGAAACCTAAGAGTATTTTAAGGAAGTCTGTGCTATATTTATAATCTAATCTGCACGGTCAGGATTGGTAGTAAAGGGATGTGTGGGGCAGAGCATTCTGGCCTTGTTGGCTCTTTGTGAATGACTGTCTTCAGATTGTGTATGTCCAGAGACTCCCGCCCTGGGAAGACTTGATTCCCTTTTATTTTTTTTTATTGAAGTAAAATACACGTAATACAAAATTTACTACTTTCGAGTGCGCAAATCAGTGGCACTAAGTACATTCCGTTCACAGTGTTATGCAACCATCACACGATCATGTTCCAGAACTTTGTCATCACCCCGAAAAGAAACTGGTACCCGTTAAGCGGATGGTCCCTTTTCCCCTGTCGCCCCAGCCTCTGGGGTAATCGCTGTCTCTGGATTTTCCTATTCTGAATGTTTCATATAAATGAAATCTTACAGTTTGTGGCCTTTTGAATCTGGCTTCTTTCATTTAGCTTAATGTTTCCAAGACTCCTCCATAGTGTAGCCTGTGTCTGTTCTTCGTAGGGTTGAATAATACTCCCTTGTGTAGCTCTATCTCCTTTTGTGTCTCCATTTGTCAGTGAATGGACCCTGGAGGTTTCCGCCTTTGGGCTGTTGTGAACAGTACTACTGTGAACAGTCAGTCGCGTGCAAGTTTTTGTTTGAACCCCCTTTTCAGTTCTTTTGGGTCTGTACCGGAGAGTGGGCTTCCTGAGTCATCTGCTGAGGACTGCTGACCTGGCTTCCCAGCACTGCCACCTTCTGCATGCCACCAGCAGAGTGCGAGGGTTCTGGTTTCTCCACGTCCTTGCCAACACTTATTATTTTCTTTTTCTTTTTTAAGTTACACCCATCCTAGTGGATAGTGGATGTGAAGTGGTATCTCTGATAGTTTCGATTTGTTTCCCTAGTGACCAATACTGTGGAACATCTGTCCACGTGCTTGTTAGCCAGTGACGAATCTTCTTTAGGGAAACCTCTGTTAACCCCGTTCTCTCGGATTAGCTTTCCCGTCTCCAGAGCTTGGTGCGGATGGAAGTGCAGCTGCTTCAAAGAGCGTGGTTTGCGTTTTCCTTCTCAAACCTTCCTTCTGTGGTGGATACTTCCCCCCTGCTTTCTCTTTCAGCTTTCTCCTCCTAAGAAGCCAGTTTTCTGACTAGGTGCTAGGAAATATTTAATATCTGCCCGTTATAGTTATTGAACCCAAGGCTGTGGTGTTCATCAGCTCACTCGGCAATACAGTGATTGGTGCCTGTTTGACAATGACCTTCAGTTCTCTGAGCCCTGAGCCGGGCACTGGACTTACAAACACACCAGTCCCCTGTATACTTCTCTTTTTGATGTACACAGATTACATTTTATTTTTATTTTTATTTATTTATTTGAGACAGAAGCTGTTGCCCTGGGTGTAATGCCGTGGCATCATAACTCACAGCAACCTCCAACTCCTGGGCTCAAGCGAGTCTCCTGCCTCCGCCTCCCAAGTAGCAGGGACCACAGGTGCCCGCCACAACGCC